ATATATATATATATATATATATATATATATATATATATATATATATATATATATATATATATATATATATATATATATATATATATATATATATATATATATATATATAATTTCCATATTTATATATACTGTACCGAAAACGCACCTGATTCAATGCATCGTACAAACTTTCATAAAGACTTTCTAAGTTAAGCAAGATCACCATCCTTCCTGTTTCCATACATACTTTGATTCGATTGATGTTTCGACAAATCTGTGATTTAGTAAATATTGTTTATTTTCTACATCACTACGACTTGACAAAAAAATTCATTAATATACATCACATCTAAACCAACGTTTTCTAATAATAACCAGACACAGTCCTAAAATGCGGTGCCCGCCTACAAATAAAACTTTCGGCGTTACGGCCTATACATGCACAAGTAAAGTTATATTTAGCACGCTACATTCTCTGTCGGCCGCCAGTTGGTCCGTACGTTAGGATCAAAACTGCATTTTAAAGCCTTCAAAATAAAATATTTTGGGCTCAAAATACTGTCAAAATGAAAAGAAAAGTGAGACGAATCCACTGGCATACGGCCGAAAACGAGACAACCAACAATTCGGAAGTTATCAAGGATCAAACAGACTGCATTTTTAATTAACTTAATAATTTTGAGCGATTTGTCAACAATACAAATTCGCTTATTAAAACTGCACATTAAAACCTTCAAAATATGCGATTTGTCAAAATGAGCAATTTGTCAACAATACAATTTCGCTTATTAAAACTGCACATTAAAACCTTCAAAATATAATATTTTGCGCTCAAATTACTAACAAAATAAAGAGAAAAGTGAGACGAATCCACTGGTATACGGCCGAAAAAGAGAAAACCAACAATACGAAAGTTATCAAGGTCAAATGTATTGCATTTTTAATTAGTTTAATAATTTTGAGCGATTTGTGAACAAAATAATTTCGCTTGTCTTTCAAAGGCCATAAAATCGCTAGAGTACTGTTGTTTAGTAATACATTTGACATCTGTGAGTAAAATTTCTCACGCTGAATCGAACGGTGGTATTTTTGTCCTTATTGGGCGCATAAAACCAGAGATAAGGCGCAACAAAAAGTCAATCGTGAGAGTGCGAGATCAATTGGAAAGAAACAATTTTCCTCGAAAAATGGAATTCGCAAAACGTGAAGGATTATTTTGAGCGGCTTGTCAATTTTGAAATTAATTTTCCATCCGTAAATACAAGTCTTTACGCTGATTCGAACAGGAGTATTTTTGTCATTGTTAGACGCATAAAACCAGAGATAAAGTAAAGCCTAGCAAGTAGTCGATCTTGAGAGTACAATAACAATTAATAAATTCCGAGCACGTGCAAGACATTTTTAGTAGGCGATTAAGGAAACGTATTGATGCGAACACACTAACAAACGGACAAACAAACGCACAAACAAACGGACAAACAAACTCACAGGCAGAATATAATGCGGTGCCAAAAATGGCACGGGCACCGCAATAATCTATTGAATGTAGGACATTTGAATTAAAGAAGCAACATGCAAATGAATAGAAATTGAAGAAAATTTACCTGTGTGTATTGTTGATCCTTCGGGAAACTGCTGCCAAAAATGACAACAGGATCGTGATTGTGGAACTTGCCCTGCAACAATCTCAGCGCCGCATAGTTCTCCGTCAAAACAAGTAAATAGCGACTTTCTCTACAAATATAAAAGTTTATTGCAGCGAACGTGTCAATGCAATGTTTAAACGCTCACAGCTAGGGTGCAAGCAGGCTATACATCTAACTAAAAGTCTTATCCAATCCCCACTTTCTGGTTTACAATATCGGGGAATGAAGCAACATTTTCGGGATTAAAGGTTCCCTTGCATTGTTTTTTAAATTTCCTTGTTGGACATCACATCTGAGTAGCAAATATATAAAATTGCATATTTATAAGCAAAAAGTGAAAGAATTTCCCACTTCAAAAATTCCTCCTCATCCCCCGATAAAATGCGACATGAAATATTCACAATTCAGTCACAACTCACCCTTCATCTTCAGTTCTACCAAGACTTTCTTGGATAAGATTCACCGGATGGCATTCTGGCGAGGGATACTTCAAAAAGATAAATGTGTTATTTACTGCCTGCGACGTCCGGATGAGAAAAACTGTGTCCGAGCTCTCGAAAACAACCCGAGCTCGTAAAGGGAGAGACATTTTCAAGTCCGAGAGCACAATTTTTCTCATCCGAACCGACCAAAAGACTCCTCAGCCAATCAGATTGTTTCACTGGATACAATGGAACACCGATACAATGGATTGTATATCAACATATACCTATCGTCTTTGCCATGCATCATTTCCTTTGGAGCAGTGCATGTATTATAATTATACCTTTACATAACGTTTAAGCTTTTGAAATTGCAATTGCTGACAAAATATCTTCATTGGATCAAGGTCATCCAGACCGCTAAAATTCCTTCTGATGGATTTTTCCAGCTCTGTTTCTTTGAGTTGATCACCTTGCCTTTCCGCCTGCACAGCAAAACCATACACCATCTTTACTAAACTGTAAACATAAACAAAGAATTAACATGTTACATAGCTGGATATGGTAACACAAAAAAAACCGACTTCATGTTTTCATCGTCTTTCATACTTTTCAACACTTGTACTTTTCAACACTCGAAAACAATATAAAATCCCAAAGCATGAGCTACATAAATAACCTTCTAAGTATACTTCTGAATACACTTCTAACCTGTAGAAGTCTCGAAGTCCAAAGAATTCGTCTTTTTGGGCATTCTTTAGTGTTTTGGACTTGCTTTGTTGGTCATAAACGTCAAAATATCCCTTACATAACCCCCAGATAATAATATCGTCTAAGCCACTATCTTTATTACCCGAACAAATTCCCCTAAAAATGAAAAAATCAGTTTCTGGAAGTGTTTTAATAAAGTGACTTAGCTTATTCTATATTACTATTTCAGGTGGTTCGTGCTTCATTGTGCTAAGTAACGCCTTGGATTTCAAATACAGTTTAAGCCTGTTTTCCACTTCAACCGTATCGTACCCAAATGAGCATGTTCATGTTCATGTTCAAATCACATACTTTTGGATGTATTTGTGTATCACTATTAAAATTTCGTCGCAAGTCAACTTTTTGGCGTACTGCGGAAGTATTAATCAATCAATATCCACTAAATTTTGAAAATTTTTCGATACGTTTCAGTATGGTACGCTTGAAGTGGAAAACGGCGTGTATTTTTAGACTCGAATGTTAATCCAGAACGATCGCCTCAAACCTTGCACTGTCACAGAGTTCGTTTTCACTTGGTACTCCTCTACTCAACATGATGCCTCGGTTCATCTTAGCAGGATCTAATGACCAATTTGATAAACCAATAAAACCAACACGGTGATAATCCGAAGTTGTTCCTGTTTCTACCGTGGTGGCGGTGCCATCTTCCAAAAGGGGATGAAGTGTTTTTAAAGGCATCAAGGGAGAATCTTCAGCTAACCCAATCTCGTCCAATACTACCACAGACACAAATTTATTCAAATCTTTGTCTTTTTGAAGTTTAGCACACTGTCTGAAGGTTGATACGATGCCTTCAGGGGTAGATAACGGGCTGCACTGATACGATTGCATGTGGATCTATTAAAATTACACCAATTAATGGAAATTAAAACATTTAATACTTATTCCACAACTGCTTCAAAAATTTTCATGAGCGGGGTTGAATTTACTGATGATGATAACTTATTCGATCAGGCCATGAATAGGGATTTTATATTCAATTTCAAGATACGAGGCGAAGCCGAGCATCTTTAGGTATGATAAAACAAGCACTGCGAATGTTTTAAATTAATGCTTCAAGAACGATCGAGCTAGTAAATTCATTGGCGAAGTAATTTTTAAAAAATACGCTGTATAAGTCGAGAAAATCAAAGTTAAAGTTTATGTAAATCAAGAGAAATCTCTATCACATATAAAGATAGGACACACTTATGATTTTTCTTTGTGCTTTCCTCATGCATTATTAATGAGTTTTTGAATAAGGTATATAACATACTCATGCATATTTAGGAAACATATTTTTGACGACTAATTTTGTCATTAATAACCCTTGAGAATGCAAACATATACTTTTGCTTCTCCTTGTTACCCCCGTTAACTACTCTAGATTATTTTGTCTTTGGCTTGATAGTGGCAACATCATTGTAACTTAAAATTATCGGTTTGGAAAAGGAATTTTTGCCATTGTCAGGATTATAGTTTTCATACGCGTACGAGACAAGGGGCTGGGGGAC